TAATGACAATAGAGAGCACTAGCAATGCTTTGTTGCCCCAGAGCTAGTTAGGTTAATGACATGATCATCCTATTAAATGTATTTGGTTACTGTATGTATTTTCTTTCGTCTCGGTTACCTTCCCATTAAACCTAGGGTGAGGAGATGTATCGTGTAACAGCCCGTTGTACACCGGTATTGTTAACATTAATTATGATATTAAGCGTAGTTACAATCACAATAGTTTATTTATAAAAATGCGAGTAAACTTTTTCTGTTTATTACGCGAACGTTTACAACAATAAGAAGCGTAATAAATAAAAGTTGTGACCGTAACTATAAACTCTTTGCGGAAATAATTATTTAAACTAATTTTATAACTTGTTTTACATCTCTCAAGTCACTACGGGGTTCCTATAAACCCACTTAGCCAAAATGTCACTTTTAAGTTTTCTACATTTCCGAACATGGTTCGCTCCTTATTTTTCTGCGGACAAACTGCATGACGCGCGCTCTTCATATTTTAGTATGTTATTCTAGACTCCATTACCTTTCTAGGAAGCTATCACATGAGTTATTTAGAGCTCGTTTGCTCTGGATATCGCCGTTTGAAGTTGGACAAGCAAAGCTGCCACCAACCCCAAAATAGTTCCAAACATCCCTCACTAAAACAATTAATGCAGAATGTCCACTCATCCAATTGCTCTCAAATTTTTATACCACAAACTAAACACATCAACCATAAATTTGATATATCATACACCTAATTTGACCAATAAACGAAGCGGGAATAATGTTTCCAAGACAGATCCAGAACTGCCACATGTGCAGTAAGCAAATGGGCAGTCTGTGTTCTCTGCCTTCTATAGGCCGACTCCCAACTCATAATTTTACCACAAGATATAGGACATCTCAAGCTTCAAAATGGCATATGGAACGTCCCCATCAGACCTCTATGGAGGGAGTTATGATCTCTCAAAGTTCGTCTAAATCCTGCCAATTTCTAGAAAATTCGCCAGAGTTTCCTTTGTTTTTCCAATAATCCCCAAATTTGACCAAGTGCTCTATGACCTCAAATGTACCTAATAATCATTGGGTGGCACACACAAGGACCAACAATGCCTTGGGGCTCTTACAACCCATCACAGTTTATATTAAACTACTCAATTCATATCATATTTCTTACTTTATTTACACTTAGCATATTTCAATCACCAATGTCCATTTGCATGCATTTTCTAAACATACACAAAATCATAATCCTAAAATAGGCCTATTGCCCTTTCATCATATTATATGCTTCATATTACATCAAGTATTCATGTACAAATTACAACTTCCAAATGAAATACTACACTTTACAACTCAAAATCCTTAAATACAACATGATGGATAAACCTCAAAATGACATATATAACTAGACTTAGGCAAAATGACATGAACAAATATGACAATGAATCTCCTCCTAAATACATATGCAATGTTCATGCCCTAAGTCTAGCCTAGGCCTAATGGCCACCAAAATACAAAATCCATAATCCTACAGCTAGTCATCCCATGGGCTTCTTGCCCACCGCTCCTGCACCACTGCTACCTTCCTGAAATAATGCCCCCAAGACGGAGTGAGATATACGAATATATCTCAGTAACCCAGAGGTTCTGGAGAATACTCCGCCAAATGGCTCACTTCGATGGATATAAATATTATAAAATAACATCTTGAAAACGGGATAAAGCAAAGGATTTAGATAAATAGGGGAACATAGGGATACAAAATACGACGAAGCTGGAATGGTCGATGCCACTACCACGCAACGTCCAGACTATTGGCTCGGCATATAAGCCTACGGATCTCATCCAAGGCGTGTTCCCAGAACATCAAACCAAGGCACCCCTCCATCCATATACACCCGAGACTTCCTTGTGTGCTCCTATCCGGATCACACACCCCGACCCTAGGTCAACTAGAACTCCCTCTCGGAGACCTATCCAGTGGAAGTCCGTAACGCCCGAAGGAAAACTGTCTACTGGCCAGAGACTCGGTACATCCAATGTACCACTAACATACATAATAAATGCATGAACATGTTATTCTACATTACTTACATACACTTCCTACCATCACCCTTAACGGGCATGGTGGAACACACAAGGGGATCAAGCCCCAGTACCAAGAGGTTACTTGTATAATCCTCTCCAATTAGCTCCAAGGCAATATATTCCCCGAGCTCGTTATACAAGAGAAATGCCTACACAGAGGACATTCCCAATTACTTACAATTCATACCAACACATGCAAGTTATAAACTCTTCAAGCATGGTTTCAAATTCTTACCTCAATCCCACTTGGTCCGGGACCAAGGGCAACCCACCGAGCTCACGGTTCCGGTTCAAATCTACTTACGGCAACCCACAACAACCATGTACGAATCATCAATACACGACAAATCTATCAAAATACGAAAACGTCAAAATTTCTCCCCCAGACAAGGTGGGTTCGGCCTACATAGTGTTATTTTACAATTTATTTTTTTAAATTTTCTTTCTCATTTTCTTAGGCATCCTTAGGTTAAGAAAATGTCATATCAAGTGCCATTTTTCATTTTACATCATTCAAACATCGTTTTGCCTAATATTTTGCTCTAGGTTCCATTACACCTTTCAATACTATCAATTATTTTTCCATTGGTTTTCCAACCTTCCAACCACCACACAACTCATCTAATTACCATACAATACACAATATGGAACCAATGCACTCCATGAAAAGAATATAAAGGTTCAACGATTTCGATGATAACAAACAAGCATGGGAAGAAAGCTTCAAGGAGCAACCATCAAAAAGAAGTCTAAACAAGATCAAGACTCAAGCTTCAAGAGACGTCACTAAGTCTAAACTCAGAGTAATATACTGTAGGACTTAGGATTATTTGTAAATTGATTCTTTACAAGAATGAAGCTCAAAGTTTTTTTTTTAAATACATGCATTAAATCATCGTTTGACATGAAAACATACTTTTCAATGTTCATAAAATGTTCAAACAATATTTGAAAATGATGTAAATCAAGAGAAAACCATTTTAGGGCGAAAACCAACCTTTCAACAGGTTGGTAATCGATTACCAAACAATGGTAATCGATTACCCTTCATGGTAATCGATTACCCACTCAATGGTAATCGATTACCTACTGTACAGAGACAAAAATAACGGCTATAAAATGGCTAGTTTGCGAAAATGAGTAGGAAAAAGGCCATGGGGGCCCTATATAAATAGAGACTACTGTTCCCATTGATGGGACACATTTATTGATCATCATTACTCATTAATTCTCATCCTATTTGCCTTATTCTTGTCTTCTTGATCATAAATCCTATTTGAGCTTTATTCTTGTGAGAGTGTCATATACCATTGTTCTTCAACTTGTGTTATTTGTACTTTAAGAGTACTTAGCCATTATTAAACACCTTCCTTGATTACTTGAGTAGCTAGGGGAGTGAACCCTACACACTTGAAAGGTCACCAAATTCCTAAGAAAATTTAGAGTGAAAAAGTGTAAGGCATCAAGAGCCCGAAGTCTTGAAAAGTTGTAGTGGTTTGTCAAGCACCCTCAAGCTTGATAGTTAGTGAAAAGAATTGATCGAGCGGCTTCAGTTTGGACGTAGGTCACGGTGGTGGTGACCGAACCAGGATACATCTAGTTTGCAATTTCTCTAACCTTAATCTTTTTTTTAAGTATTAAAATTGCGTCTTAGATTGTCTTTATATATTCACTTGCTTACTTTGTTGATCACTACACTTGCTTTTACTATTAGACACTTCTTTATCAAATCACTTTATTGAAGAAATAGTCTGTAAAACATCAAAGGAGGTACTTTGCGAAAAGATTTTGTAAAACTCAATTCACCCCCCTCTTGAGTATTGAAGCCACCTGTCCAACAAGTGGTATCAGAGCTTGAACTCTTGTATAAAGAACTTAACCGCTTCAAGAGAAGGGATGACTTCTTTGAACCATGATATGCCCCTTGAGAGATCATCTAGTACTAGACCTCCATTTTTTAATGGTGTCGATTATTCTTATTGGAAGAGTCGGATGAAAATATTTCTTCAATCTAATGATTTAAGAGTATGAAGTGTAGTTGAAAAAGGATACACACCACCTACTATAAAAAATGAGAAGGATGAAGATATTCCTAAAGATATAGATAATTACATTGAAGATGAAATTAGGAAAGGAAATTGGAATGCTAGAGCTCAAAACTTGATCACAAATGCCTTAGGTCGTGATGAATACTTTCGTGTTTCAAATTGTAAGAATGCTAAGGAAATGTGGGATATTCTTCAAATAACCCATGAAGGAACGAGTGATGTTAAATTTACAAAATTAAATGCACTCACTAGAGAATTTGAAATGTTTGAAATTCATGAGAATGAAAGTATTCAAAGTATGCAAAAAAGATTCACACACCTTGTCACTCATCTAAGTGCTTTAGATAAATCTTTTACTAACCTTGAGTTAATTGCTAAGGTGATGAGAAGTGTGCACAATAGGGAATGGCAACCCAAGTTGACGGCTATTACGGAATCAAAAGATTTGAAAACCATGGACCTTGCAACCTTGTTTGGCAAGCTCCAAGAGTATGAAATGGAGCTAACTAGAATATCCTTGAAGGAACAAGCCATCAAGAAAAGCAAGGGAATTGCCTTGAAAGCCTCAACACCAAGCAAAGAGAAGGATGAGGAAAAAGAAGATGGAGATTCCGAAAAATGGTCTTGACGAAGATGAGATGAGTCTTTTCGTAAAGAAGTATGGAAAATTCTTTAAGAAATTTTTTTCAAAGAAATCCGCATTTCCTCCTAGAAGAAGATCTAAAGATGAAGGATCCTCACAACTTACCATCACTTGCTTTGAATGTGGAAAAACCGGTCACTACAAATCGGATTGTCCAAATATTCAAAAGAAAGACAAATATGAAAAGAAGCAAGGCAAGGATAGAAGGAACTTCAAGAAGGCTTATCTTGCTTGGGATGATGAATCTAGTTCTTCCGATGATGACTCCAAGGAAGAAGCAAATCTATGCTTCACGCAAGATGGAAGACCACCGGAGAAATCAAGCAAAGGAACTCAACATGTATGTCTAATGGCAAATGAGGACAAAAATGAATCCGAAACCGAGGTAAACTCATCTTGCTCTACTCTTTCCCCTTCATATGATGAGTTGTCTGACATGTTTGAAGAAATGCATAATGAAACACTAATACATGTTAAAGCTCTTAGAGCATCAAGAAAGACTATTAGTTCTTTGGAAAAACAAATTGCATCTTTAGAAAAGGAAGTAAAGGAGTTGAAGGATGAAAATGAAACTCTCAAATTACTTGATGCTAGCATTGGTTGTATTAAATGCCTATCTTCAAATGATCATGCATCTTCATCATCATGTACTTCATGCAAAGATCTAAACAATGAAATTGATGATTTAAATGAAATTCTAAGCAAATTCACATGTGGAAGAGACAACTTAAATGTGTTGCTTGGTAAACAAAGATGCATGTTCAACAAATCCGGTTTAGGCTTTGACACTAACACACAAGAAAAATCATATAAAAACTTTTTCATTTCACCATCCTACATGACAAGTAGCCCATTCATTAAATGTTTTCATTGTGGTGGAAAAGGTCATAGTGCATCCACTTGTAAAGTTAGAAAGAATGGTATTATTGGGCAAAAGAAAGTATGGGTTCCTAAGGGAACTAAGCCCAAGACTAACACACAAGGACCCAACATGATGTGGGTACCAAAGATTAAATCTTGACTTTGTGATGTAGGTTTGTTTGAAGGCTAAAAGCTCCAAGTGGTACTTGGATAGTGGTTGCTCAAGTCACATGACGGGAGATGTAACTAAGTTCCAATCACTCACTAAGAAAGAACATGGACATGTTTCCTATGGAGATAACAACAAAGGAAAGATTGTTGGTATTGGAAAAGTTGGTAATTCCTCCTCCGTTTCTATAGAAAATGTTTTACTTGTTGAGGGTCTCAGACATAACTTGCTTAGTATTAGTCAATTATGTGATAAAAATTATAAAATTATTTTTGACTCAACCTCTTGTAAAATTGAGAGTCAAATTGATGGGCAAGTTAAGTTTCTTGGTCATAGAGAGGATAACATTTATATGATAGACTTAGATGGTATGCCTTCAAATGACGATAAATGTTTGATTAGTAAGGAAGATGACTCTTGGTTATGGCATAGAAGAATAGCACACATTGGCATGGGTCAATTAAGCAAATTGATATCCTTAGACTTAGTAATTGGGTTACCAAAGCTCAAATTTGAAAAAGATAAAGTTTGTGATGCTTGTCAAATGGGAAAACAAGTAAAGGCTTCTTTTAAATCAAAAAATATTGTTTCTACCACAAAACCTTTACAACTTTTACATATGGATCTTTTTGGACCAACTAGAACCATGAGCTTTGGTGGCAATTACTATGCCTTGGTCATTGTGGATGATTATTCTCGCTATACTTGGACTTTATTTCTTACATATAAAAGCGATGCTTTTAAATCATTCAAGAGACTAGCCAAGCTTATTCAAAATGAACTATCTTCAAATATTATTTCAATTAGAACCGATCATGGTGGAGAATTTGAAAATCAAGAATTTGAAATGTTTTGTGAAGAAAATGGTATTGAACATAATTTTTCCGCTCCTAGGACTCCACAACAAAATGGAGTTGTAGAAAGAAAAAATCGTGTATTGGAAGAACTTGCTAGAACGATGTTAAATGAAAATAATCTTCCAAAATATTTTTGGGCGGAAGCCGTTGGCACCGCGTGTTATGTTATGAACCGTGCTTTAATTAGACCTATTTTGAAGAAAACTCCCTATGAACTTTACAGAGGAAGAAAACCCAATATTTCATATTTTCATGTCTTTGGTTGCAAATGTTTTGTTTTAAATAATGGAAAAGAAAACCTTGGCAAATTTGACTCTAAAGCCGATGAAGGGATATTTCTAGGATATTCACTTACAAGTAGAGCCTATAGGATCTATAACAAAAGAACAATGGTCATTGAAGAGTCTATTCATGTTGTATTTAATGAGACTAACAATGCCTTGCCTAGAAAGGAACCTTGTGATGATGAGGTTATAGAAAGCATGGAAAACATAAACTTGAATGACAAAGAGGAAAGTGAAAGGCAAAAAGAAAAGGAAGCAAACAATGAAGAAACACCAAGTCAACAAATCAATGATGGAAACAATCTACCACAAGATTGGAGAATAGCTAGAGACACCCCATTGATGCGGTAATTGGTGATATATCCAAAGGGGTAACTACTAGAAACTCAATTAGAAATATTTGTAATCACTTAGCATTTGTTTCTCAAATTGAACCTAAGACCATAAATGAAGCAATTATTGATGAACATTGGTTCTTGGCAATGCAAGAAGAACTAAATCAATTTGAAAGAAATCAAGTTTGGGAACTTGTGCCAAAACCAAATGATTATCCAATAATTGGAACCAAATGGGTCTTTAGGAACAAGCTTGATGAAAATGGCATAATAACTAGAAACAAAGCTAGACTTGTTGCTAAAGGATATAATCAAGAGGAAGGTATTGATTATGATGAAACTTATGCTCCCGTTGCTAGATTAGAAGCTATTAGATTACTACTTGCATTTGCATGTATAATGGATTTTAAACTCTTTCAAATGGATGTCAAAAGTGCCTTTTTAAATGGTTATATTCAAGAAGAAGTATATGTTGATCAACCTCCCGGTTTTGAAGATCTTGATTTACCTAACCATGTCTTTAAACTCAAAAAGGCCTTATATGGTTTAAAGCAAGCTCCAAGAGCATGGTATGAAAGATTAAGCAAATTTCTTTTAGAAAAAGGTTTTTCAAGAGGAAAAGTGGACACAACTCTTTTTATAAAGAAGAAAGATGATCATCTATTATTTGCACAAATTTATGTTGATGATATTATCTTTGGTGCCACTAACGTTAATCTTTGTGAAGAGTTTGCTGATCTCATGCAAAGTGAATTTGAGATGTCTATGATGGGAGAGCTAAACTTCTTTCTTGGTCTCCAAATAAAGCAACAAAAGGATGGAATATTCATCAATCAAGCTAAATATTGCAAGGAGTTACTCAAAAAATTTGGAATGGACAACTCCAAAGCTATTGACACTCCCATGGGTACATCTTGTTCTTTAGACAAGGATGAAGGAGGTAAATCCATAGAAATTACTAAATATCGAGGTATGATCGGCTCACTCCTTTACTTAACCGCAAGTAGGCCCGATATTATGTTTAGTGTGTGCATGTGTGCTAGATTTCAAGCTAATCCTAAAGAATCACACTTAAGTGCCGTAAAAAGAATTATGAGATATCTTGTAGGCACTTCACAAATGGGATTATGGTACCCTAAGGGTGCATCATGTGAGTTAATAGGCTATTCCGATTCTGATTTTGCGGGATGCAAATTGGATAGGAAGAGCACTAGTGGCACTTGCCACTTTCTTGGTTGCTCTTTAGTGTCTTGGCATAGCAAGAAACAAAATAGTGTGGCTTTGTCCACGGCCGAAGCGGAATATGTGGCGGCCGGCAGTTGTTGTGCACAAATCATATGGATGAAACAACAACTAAAGGACTTTGGGGTTGATCTTGATCACATCCCCATTAGGTGTGATAACACTAGTGCCATCAATATCACCAAAAATCCCATTATGCACTCACAGACTAAACATATTGATATTAGACATCATTTTATAAGAGATCATGTGCAAAGTGGTGATTGCATCTTGGAATTTGTGGAATCCTCAAAGCAATTGGCCGACATCTTCACCAAACCACTACCAAGGGAAGTATTCTATAACTTAAGAAGAGAAATTGGTCTCATTGATCCATCCTACATATGACTGTATCATTTCATCTCATGCTTAATTCAACTAATTTTGCCTTCAAGACTTATTGCATAGTTTGTTTTGAATCATTTTCCATGTATAAAATTCATAAAATTAAATCTGTTATCTGTCACATGAAACTTCTTCCCTTATTCTTATATGTTTCATGCCTTAAATCTGACCACAAACCTTTTAGTAATCGATTACCACTGCATTGGTAACCGATTACCTAGAAGGGTAATCGATTACCACAAGTGACAACAGGTTTTAAGTCACGATAAGAGTCCTTCTGTCTCTTCTTCTCTTTACATTCAAAAACCGTCTCTTCTCTCTCTGGAACCTTGAACGCTCAAGATTGTAGAACAGGTTCCAAGCCTTTTATCCCCTTTGATTTGGGAATTTCCTTCATTAGCTTCTAATCATTTGAGAACCGGTCCCTCTCAACGCACAAGTTCGTCTTCCTCTTCTTCATTTCTGATCATATACTTTAAACTTAATTTTCTTCTTCTTCACTGCTTTGATGAATCTGATGAACGTATCATAACAAAAAAAAATAAAAAATTCGAATCATTGTACTGTTTCGGGTTTTCTCACTCGATCTCTTCCCCTCATGTTCTCACAATCCCAATCACGTCTGATTCCTACAATTTTTTTTTTGGACTCTGTATATCCCTTCCCCTCTACCGAATGCATATACATGAATGTTTTTTTCTTCTTCACATATGCCTGATTATTGAACGCATCAAATCCCTATGCTCATTACCTTTTTGCTGCTTTTCTGCCTAAATTGGAAATTGGATTGATTGGCATTATGTTTATGTATTCATTGTGCCTTGTACTTACTGCTCATTTCGGTCAATTTGTGGCTATATGTGGCTGTTTCAATTTTTTTTACTGCTGATATACTTGCCCATTTTCTGAGTTCATACGTTCCTTCGTTTCCAATGAATTTTATCTTTCGACTACTCATTTACCGTTCTCATTTATATCATGTGTTATACTGCGTAAATTCTCATCCCAAAGCTGCCATATTCTGTGAAGGCATATTTTCATTTTTGGGCATTCTGATTTGGCTGCCATATTCTGCATCGGTTGGGTTTGCTTTTACATTGGTCTTATTTACATTAAGTACTCATGCTTTAGTTTCATGGAATCAATTTCATCTTGTTGATACTATGCATTTGTGTAATTCATTATGCCTATGCTCATGTTCTTCATTCCCACATTACAGCCTCTGTTTCATTGCAAAATATTTATATGTTGGGACTCTAACTTTGTGAAATTCCATTTTGTAGGATTTCCATTTGCTCTCTCATTTGAATCCATGGCTTCATCATCTAACCCCATTCGCAAGAGGCCCCGGGGTTCATGTCTTCATGGCAAGTACTTTTCTACAGCTGCTAAATATGCCACATTCAAGGAACATTTTGCCTCCCGCCAAGTCATCGCTTCAAAATGCTTGGATATCCAATTCATGAGTGATGAAGGCTTTGAAATTTGTGATCTCTTGACTCATGCTGGAGTCCTACGCTTGACTCTCTTCAAAGAGAGATATTCAGAAGATATGGTTCGGGCTTTCTACTGCACTCTCAGCTTTGCAAATGATACACTAAAGGCCGACATCAAGGGCAAGCTCGTTTCAGTACCTCCTGCGGAATGGCCTTGTATATTTGGTCTGGCCTACAATGGACACAAGTATGGTGTGTATGATTTCCCTGAATTTAACAAATACACCTTTACGCAGTCAATTGTGGAACCCGGCGTCATAATTACTCAATCAAAGTTTAGCGTCTCTTCATTGACTATAAACAACCGGATCCTACATTACGTAGTCACTCACATGCTGTCACCGAGGCACTCCAACTATTCTCGGGTGCTTGATACTGATCTCTTTCTGATGTGGGTTATCCGTTCTGGAATTAGTTTCAACTGGCCTAACTATATCTGCACTCAAATGATTAAATCTAAAAACTCTTCTGCTGCACTTCCTTATGCTACTGTCATTGTTGAGATTCTGCGTCATCAACAACTCTTTATGGATGGTGAGATTCTATCCGATGAAATTCACCGCCTTGGCATGAATTTACTGGCCCAAATGCAAATCAAAAAAATTAATGGTATATGGTGTAAAACAACCACTGCTCCTGAAGCCGGAGCAGCCCCTGCTGACATTGCCGAGGACACTAATCCACCAGCCGCTGATCATCCTGCTGACTCTTCTTCCTCCGCAGATCATACTTTGGGGACAATTCTCACATCTCTTAACCGGTTAAACACTACTGTGGAATCCGGCTTTGCCACTGTGAACTCTAGGCATGCTAACATGGAGCTTCGTCTGAAGCGCATTGAGGACTATCTTCACATTCCTCCTCTTCCATCTCTACCACCACCGCCTCCACATGACTCTGATGACTTTTAGTCCCTGATATTTTTTTATGCTCTTCGACTTATCTTATGCTTCTATTTTGCTATGCTATGCTACTTTGGATATTCTGTATCTCTAAGACTCTAGCCTTATGGACTATAGTTGCTTACATTATTGGCTATTATGAGCTATTGTGGTTTATTATGTTTTCTTCTCGCTTTTTGCATGAATTATTTCAAGATTTCTATTTATCCACTCATGCTTTTTGATGTTGTCAAAGGGGGAGAAAGATACATAAATTGAGAAAATCATAAGCATATATTAAGGTAAATAGGGGAGAATAAAATTCAAAAATAAAAGGAAGATTAGATGACACCTTGTATATCAATCATATATTAAGGGGGAGTTTCAATACTATACTTGTCTAAATACATGCTATTCTAATCCTTTTCTCAATTTGAGTTTGTCATCATCAAAAAGGGGGAGATTGTGGAACCAATGCACTCCATGAAAAGAATATAAAGGTTCAACGATTTCGATGATAACAAACAAGCATGGAAAGAAAGCTTCAAGGAGCAACCATAAAAAAGAAGTCTAAACAAGATCAAGACTCAAGCTTCAAGAGACGTCACTAAGTCCAAACTCAGAGTAATATACTGTAGGACTTAGGATTATTTGTAAATTGATTCTTTACAAGAATGAAGCTCAAAGTTTTTTTTTTAAATACATGCATTAAATCATCGTTTGACATTCAAATACATTCTTAACATGAAAACATACTTTTCAATGTTCATAAAATGTTCAAACAATATTTGAAAATGATGTGAATCAAGAGAAAACCATTTTAGGGCGAAAACCAACCTTTCAACAGGTTGGTAATCGATTACCAAACAATGGTAATCGATTACCCTTCATGGTAATCGATTACCCACTCAATGGTAATCGATTACCTACTGTACAGAGACAAAAATAACGGCTATAAAACGGCTAGTTTGCGAAAATGAGAAGGGAAAAGGCCATGGGGGCCCTCTATAAAT